GCTATCTTGTTATATGTATGTGAACAACATTGAAGTCCTTGGCGATGAATGACGTCAATAACAAATGATGTAAACTTTGCGTGACAGTCAATGTGGTCACAATAATTACAAGATAACATTCAACTTACTTTACCAGCACTGAGATGTATACCACTCTGTTCAAAATCAAAGAGGAAGAGTTCTGCGACTCTCCTTGATTCTTTGTCCATACTTTGCAGAACACTTTCATTACTCAGCAATTTCCTGAGCGATTCGTGAAGCCTCACGTTTGTATTTAATCTGAAACACAAAAATGACTAAGTAATTCTATGATAATAAATTCCCTTGCTCGATACACATGTATGTACACATTGAGGGTCTCTACCAAATTAAACATAAAAAATAGTCAAATTTAATATGCCAACTCAGTATAAATTCCGTCTGACCAGGAAACTGATTGTATACTTACTTTTCCACCATATTTCCCACTGAAAAGCAGGCATCTTCAGCAGCCTCGATGTATTCAATTTTTGGATGAGCCACTCTCACAAAATCAGCCTAAAGACAACAAATTAACATGAATCGTTATGGCATTCATAACACAACACCTGCCATGTTTCAACTTTTAAGTTCTCAGTTAACAAGGTCTTTCATAGTAGCATTTCTATGGGATTGACGTACTAGAATGAATGGGTTCAATTATGAGTTTTCACTGATGACATCATTTGACTGGCCCTCTAGCGGCGAAATGACGCCAGGCAAAACGGACGTTTGTCGTCTGCTTCACAGCCCGTTTTATATCCGATATTTAGGGCATTTCGCAGCACATACAAGTTATTTTTATCGACAGAATTCATTCATAGATCTCAAATTTTTTGTACAGAGTGTCAAAAGCACACTTCTTCTTCCCTTTAATATGTTCTCTGCACACAGGAGAAAAAAAACCAGCAGCCTCTGAGCTGGGATAGCTCCGCTGTTAACAATGCACTTTTCAATTAGAGAATTGAAAATATCATCACAAAATGAACAAATCTAAGATCAATTCACATGAGATACCTATATGTATAATATCAATGCCAGCAAACTTGCAGTTTTCAACAAAAAGTCAAAAATGTCACTTTTTACCAAAATTACAAAAATATTCATCAAAATTAGAGAATTGAAGATATCAACACGAAATAAACAAATATAGGTAATATCAAATCAATCTTGCAGTTGTCAAAAATTACATTAATTAGTCCACAATGTACTAAATTGTCATCAATAAACTGATAATTATATTGTTAAATTGTGATTATTTTCAGTTAATTAATTAATTTATTGTATTCTGTACTACCCGGTAATATCTATATTCTCGAGAAATGTTTTATTTTACATCAAATATAAAATACAAACAATTTATGTTTCTTTTAGATCAAACGCACAACAAACCATGATTCCAGAAAATATTATGAAGAATGTACAATTGACCATTTTCCGTACACTGCGAGAATCACGCGTTATGCGTGAAATTGAACGTAAAAACAGGAAAAACAAAGGTCATAGCGTCGTAGTCGCGTCAAACATCGCGTGGGATTCGACAAACGCGAAAGTATTTCGGGGACATTTCCATGCTTAATAATGTGCTGTCCACATTTGATGATAGGCAATTTCGATTAAGTAAGGGTATTCAGAAGCAATATTCCTCTGTCGAAGATCGGCCGGTCAATGTAAGCTACGAAATAAAGAAATTCTAGTTCAAAATCAAATCCTTCGATTTTTGCGGCAGACGTTCGATGCGCATCTTTCATGCATCTCGCGAGATCTCGCAATTGTACGGAAAATCACCTATTGATATAACTGTATCATACTTACCAGATCAGCAACTCTACAGAGGGCATCTGAGAGTTTGTCGAATATTGTCACTAATTCGGGAGTTGTTGGGCTATTGACTGCATCCTTCACTAATCGTTCCACTTCTTCCAGACATTTGTGTTGTGCAATTTTGAAACCATACGGTTCAG